AAATAAGCGTAACTTGACAGAAGTAGGATAACATTTACCAACAATAGCGATCGAACAACCAAAAAAAGCAGGAGTCTGTTTCCCTGGGGACGTAGTTTCTGTCCTTTTTTGGATAAATAATGTGACATAAAATAGCCTGGCTAAATATTGTATTATCAGGAGATCACATGTGTACCGTCTGTGTAAAGTATATATAACAGATATCGTCGGCGGTTACACCATTTCACCGTTATGAGATCGTGAATGTACTGGCTAAGCCCTGATGATTTTCACCGCCCACAAAAAGTCGTAACAGACTTGCAACTAAATAACAAGAATAACGTCTACCCCATAAAAACCTACCTTGGGCCACTTTGGAAGTCAAATATTTCATGTTTCTCATTTTGTAACTTAAATTATAAATAACAATCTTGATTTATAAACATCAGTAGATCCGCTTTCTCCCGGAGACAAGCCTTATATACGAGGAATGAAAACACTAAAATGCGATCAAGTATAAAGTTTATCACAAGCGCATTTCCGTAGGGTAGATATATTTGCATAACAATCGTATAGCTGTCGCATTTGCCCGCTGGAATGGAATTTTTATTATTTCTCAGCTTCGCAAAAGAAAATAGAATAATGATATTGATAATGACAATGATAATTGTAATGATCATGATCATCATGATGATGTTGTTGTTGCTGATGATCAGGGACCTTATGCAAGGACGACGACAACCACAACGACGACTTAAAAACAAAACAAAAAAACAATAGGTTTAATGATCAAAACAACAGCTCTGCACGTGCTCTCACGCTTATTAGTACATTTCTTTGACGTCCGCTGCACGACTACGACGTGAAACCTCCTAAGTTCACGTTTTATGGACATACGACGACGAATTTTCTTTCACCTTTTTGAACGTGAATGAAATCCTTAAGAATTCAACTCCAGGAAAAGTGGCCTGCATTTGACATATCGAGCGGGTCCAAATAGACGCGATTAAGTTTGAAAGAACTCAAATTCATTTGTTTTACTGACGTTTTCACTGCCGTCGTCGTCCCTGATAATGTTGACGACGACGACGACGATAAATTCCGACAGGCGGATGCAACAGCTTGACGCGTACGTTCCTGAATACGTATCCACCCTTAATACGTAGTACTGTTTACAGCGCTGTACAGTAGTTCTACCGTTTGAGTCTGGGCAAAGCCTAAAGCAACTGTTACTAGTGAAATGAACGCTGTCCAGATCTCAACTACAACGTAAAAGATCGACTTAGCTACATGTTTCTTAAGCAGCACTTTACTGTAGTTCTGCGTACACTGATATGCAAGGTAGGTCCTATGGATAAAAGCCTGAAGAAAACTTACTTATTCACATGCACGCTACTCAGTATTACGTTCGAATCTTGAAGTGCAGTTACCGGTAGTTGTAACGTATTTGTTCGTGGACCAATTCCTACAGTGCAACCATTTACAGCGGCTTCGCCCAAATAGGTGAGCTTGATCGCAGTCTACCATTTACATGTAAATGAGTTTGAGTCTAAGGGCGTTTTCTAAAAGACAGTACTAGCCGGCCAGACCAGTCATTTTAAAAATGAAACATAAGTCTGTTCTTGCAATTTTTACTTAAACCCATTACTGCCGTGCATAGCATACCATGTATGAAGAAAATGACCTGGCTGAAAAGTCTTGATTAATTGTGGAACTCTCCTGAAAACTGGACTGGTCTGGCCAGCTAGTTCTGACAAATGGTAAGCGACGTAAGTGTTGTCCTGATTGCATGTGAAAGACCACAAGATAAAATTCAACCTACATGTAACACAGTTTGCTTTCCAAGTTATGGCTCTAAGGAGTAAAAGCATCAAGCAAATTACTGATGTTCTTTCAAGGCCTCTCTCTTCATGGCATTCACACTGGCCACAATTTTGAGAGCGGGCCCAAGTTTCATGTGCATAGCGACAACCATGTGTTCCTCTCGAAGAAGCATCAAGGCCTGTCCATCAATCTCCTGGGATATAAACGAGTCGGCATACTCGGAACAGCCGTTTAAAGACCTGCAATCAACGAACAGCAAGCAGTTCAAGTACGTAACTTGTGAGTCACCATTCAATTGAAGGCTACTGAGGTGGAGTACTTTCCTATGGTTCTGTTTATGAGGGCAGTCGAGGGAGTTCTAGTTTTTCAGTTTGTGGGTGAAATCCTGAAGCGCGACCTGTCAAATGAAAGCTACTGAGCAGTACTTTCCTTTGGTACTGTTTATTACACTGTTCAAGGTGATTCTAACTTTTGAGTCTGTGGATGAAAATCCTAAAATGTGACCATTCAAATGAGATGTACTGAGCAGTACTTTCCTGTGGTACTGTTTATTACGCTGTACAAGGTGATTCTAACTTTCGAGACTGTGAATGTTTACAAACACGTAATTGGGAATTTCATTGCTTGGGAGACTGACAAATAAGCAGCAAGATTCAAAAGAAGTACTCACTTAACGAAGGTTGCCACTTCCTGAACATTCCACTTAGCGGCTTTCACGTGTTCATACAGCCACAGGGGTTCCACTTCGCTGCGTGTCCAGTCAAAATTCAGTGGGTGTACTGTGTCTGAACGCAAGTAATAATACAGGATATGATATCATTAACCTGCTATTGGAGACTTTAGATTCTAAGACGAGTACGACAACGAGTAGGCGATTTTCTCAATACTAAGTAGTGCTCGCGCGTGAACCAGCGTCATTTTGGCGGGAAAACGTGGTAGCCGTCGTCATTCCACAACGAGTTTTAGCGAGAATGTCGAAGTGGCGGAAACAAGTTATCAAATGAAATAAACGAAGCTTTCGAACAGGGTTACACGAAAAAACATTGTTCGTATGCATAGCAACATCTTGTTTCACAATTATGTTAATTACAGCTCTCATTTTTCTCCACAGCTTTGGTTTCTAGACGGAGATGTCTTTTTTTCAATGAAGTTTCTTCACGTTTTCGTTACAAACGCCTGGATTTGAAGGAAGTTTAAACTTGAACCATTCTACCAAAATCTATTATTCCTGATTTTCTGACTTATTCTCTACTAAGGAATATTGAAAACAGTCCTACCTTTCTTAAGAAAAACAACGAAAATTAAATAATTACATTTCCTTGGGTTTCAATTACTAAACATTAATTCAGTTTAATTTTCAAAAAGAAAGCAAATGTTTCCAGAAAATAACACCGGAGATTTAAAACTAATAGAAAACGGTGAAATACAACTTGGCGTCTAAGAACGCAATGAGACGAAGCAAACTAATAGCTACGTAAATGAAAAAAAAAATTTAAGATTAATTGGAAGCTAAGTATCAGTAAACCAGCAAGAGATTTTCCGATCACAATTTTTCCACCATTGGCAACAATGACAGTCACTGTACGACAGCATTGGAGTTCACTTCAAATGTACGTTGGAGAAATCGAAAATTTGTCAAGGACAACCTCAAAGAGAAACTTCTCTTAATGGGTCTGTACTACGTAATCATCCGCAAAAGATTAAAAACAGAAGGGTAAACAGCTAAAGCGTTTGACAAATACCTGTTTGATCTTTAGGATCACCTTCATGTAAAACGGCCTCTCCGTCTGGGCCATTTCGGGACGGTTCGTTTTGTTTGGATTTGTTCTTACGATCGGACAGTTCGTTTCCCATGTTAGAACTTTGTCCAATTCGCTCAGCGACGAGATGGCTATGAATTTTGTTTAAAACAATACTTCAACGGTTTTACCATATGAATGATTTCCAATGCAAATGAAGACGCATGCCAGTAGAGATGGATTCATTGTCGTGGATACTCGAAATAACAACTTGAAATCTAAATATTGGCTGACGAGCTAACACATTTGGAGAGGATTTGTAAAGCGAGTGTTAAATCGCTATGCGGAAACAGGTTTAATAGAAAAAGAGTTTGGCAACCAAACAGAAGCAAAAAAAGTGAAATGAATATTCAAAGAGCAAACAACACTGAGCTAAAATACGAGGCGAAAAGAGGTGGGAAGACCTTTAACCCTAACCATTTAAGCCTTGTTACTAGGAAAGAAAAGAAGAAAGCCGAACTTGGGAAAAGGAATATTAAATCAATACTTATAAAACAGTCATAACTCCATTACTTTATAAAACAAGGTTAAATTGAATTGATAAAATGGCCAAATACATATCAAAAATTAGTGCACGATTTTCTTTTTGACATTCCCCATAATCTAGCACAGGTAAGTCTTATTAGCTAAGAACGAAAACACTTCATGATATTTTAGTTTCGTTGTCCCCAAAATCACAAAACTGAATTTAGCAACTGTTTAATTTTATCCGAAAGAGGATCACTTGTTATGATCACGTCAAGTCCTCGACGACTTAGAGACTAGAAAAATGTAAGAACCAATAGCAAACTGATTCTCAAGGCGCAAAGGAGCAAGATTGCAAATGCGTTACGGTTTGGAGGGAAGCCTTCTTCAGAAAAACAAAATAAGGTATTTTCTTTAGAATGGTAACAGTACGAGAAGTTGAAAATGAAGCCAATATATACGCCTGGCAGTTAAATCTTATAGAACAGAAACGTAAGTAAACGCTACCTTGGTACAAAAAATAACAGCTACAAAATGTTTAAAAACGTTTCTGGGTTAAAGACATGAGAAACTTAGCAATGAACACTGAAAACACCACACTAATCGATTGATCACACAGTTAATTCTGGCAATTGAAACAAAGAAGAGGGGCAGTTTTCCAATATTCGCGACCAAGGTGAAGGTTTCTTTACTGCTACAGCTTGTCAGTATACATGACACTTCTAATGAGTTCATTATGTTTTTGACTTACCAAATTCATTAACTTGAATGGATGCATCTACCATATATGGCCCAGCTTGGTGGTCGTAATACTACAGACAGAACAAAAAACAGTCATCAGGAGTGGTATGGTAAATAAGAAAGGTGCTTGTTCACTTCTTCAAAGTCTTTACTGTGTAAACCAGGCTAGCCAGCTTTCATATAGTTTCTGCAATATGTGGTGACATGCTGAACTCCAGAAAAACTTGCTTAGCTAGGAAGTGGCTATCTCAGGCTATTTGCTATCTTGTAAAAAAAACCCTTGAACGTGCCTTTGTATCAACTGAATACCAAAAATAATGGTCTTGTTTTGTTATTAACACTATATTTATATTAGTCAATAGCGACCTGAGAACGGCGACGGCAGAGAAAACGTCGCTGAAAAAGTGAATTCGCGTTCTTTCAATCTTCATCGCGATGAAATTACTCTAAGTCACTAACTCTGTTTAATGTAGGTGAACCCTCCTAACGTTGAATTGCTAGGAACCATATCCAAGTTCAGAAAGAGAGAGGAAATTTCGTCGTCGTTTGTGTACTTCCTCTGTAAAACGTGAAATTAGGCATTTTTGCGTCGTAGTCGTGCAGTGACGGCAAAGAAATGTACAAAAAAGCGTGATGCACGTGCAAAATTGTTGTTTTGGTTATTAAATCTATCGCTTTTTTGACGGTATCGTTGCCGTCGCCGTTGTCGGATCTTAAGGTCGCTATTGTAAACGACGGCGACGGCTACGAAAACGATACTTAAAAAGTGAATTTGCGCCGCTTCAAATTTTGTCGCGTTTATTCCAACTCATTCAATTCGACATATAATGGCGAATTTTTCTGGAACTGATTTCTAAAGGACTGTATCGAAGTTCAGGAAAAGAAAAAGAAAATTGTCGTTTTGTGCTCACGTCCTCCACAAAACGTGAAAACAGGGAGCTTCACGCTCTAGGCGTGCAACGACGGTAAGGAAATGTACAAAAAAGCGTGATGCACGTGCAAAATTGCTGTTTTGCCAATCTAAACCTACTACTCTTTTGCTGTTCTCGTTGCCGTTGCCATCACCGTCGTTTCTATGAGTTTACAGGCACAATAAACCATAGGCTTTTTAACAATCAGAACGCACGTACTATCTTAGTCATTTTATAATAAGCCATAAACCAGAACAAGCACGCTTCAAATATAATATTCCTCGTTCTAGAATAGGGGGGCTTAGTAACCGGGATGAAATGACTTGGGGGCGAGATGACCAGGGTAACCAAATGAACTAGATAGCCATGTCTCAGCCACTTTCACCCTTTCTCTTAGATCGACATGTGGCGGAAAGATTTCGAGCTGCTAACTTTCAAATCTGTGCTTGGCAAAACAAACCCTACCTCTCCCCTTTGGGGAGTCAGACAGCATACCCAGGGTAGGGTGGGTGAGTAATTCTAAGCACAGGGTGAGGTGAAGTGGATGTGTGTTCTACTTATAGTTGCTCAGTCTGCTCAGTGATGTTGCTATCCCTGCATTCTGTCTCTGATGTACAAAGTCCTAAACAATAACATAGTATCAATTTCGTCTTTGGGACACCACAAAAGGAAAAATGTCAGATCAAACAAGGAAACTCCTCTGCATGCAATTTAGCAACTATAATCACATCTTAGCTCAACACAAAAATATTTCTTGACTCAACCGGAAATTTAAGCAGGACTTATACAGTTTAGTTTTTGAGAAGTGAGTTCAATTGACTTACACATGTAACAACAAAATTTGTAATGAAATCACTGTTTGGTATTGGTTGATGTGGGTTTGATGGAGGTGTTTTTGTGAGAATAAAATGGGTGGGCTACCAGTCTGTGAATACAGCTGTCTCTCTTCACTCGTCGCTGCTAGGGACTTTTCACAGGAGAGAACTCTGCGCCAGAACGACAGAAATTCCATACTGATGATGTGAATCAATTCATAGGGTTCCTAACATGAACCTGTTAAAGTTTACACATGTATGTTTCTGCTTGTCTGTTATGGTAAAGTCTTGAGTTCTGCAAACCAGCTGAAGCAAAACTCAAATGTTTTATCTACGAAAAAATAAATTCCACAAAAATAAGTGTTTTGCATAGTAGATTCATCGTGTTAACATTTGACCTCTGTGACCTTTGGTTATTTGTCTGTCATTTGTAAACAATACCTAAAATAATATAATTATTAGTAAATAGAGCTCCTAACCAGATTCCCAACAGATTTTAGGTCATCAGTATAGAATTTCTGTCGCCCAGGAACAGATGCCTCTCCTACAAAATGTTCCCAGCAGTGAGGAGCAAGGAGACACCCCTACGTATATTCTCATGTTATATGTACAGTATAGAATTTCACTGAGTTGAGTATGTGTTGAATGGCTTCAGAAAAAGATTGAGTGACTGGTGAGTGATCGTGAGGTCGGCAAACACAAGTGAACTCGCCATGGGAACAGAATAAGATGGAATTTCTGATGAAATAAGGATAAGATGGAAGAATAAGATGATATAAGATGATATAAGATGATATAAGAATAAGATGGAATTTCTGTTGTTAAGGCACAGATGCCTCTCCTGCAAAACGTCCCTTACAGCAGTGAGGAGCGAGGAGAGACATCTATGTATATTCTCATGATATATGTACAGCAGAGAATTTCACTGAGTTGAGTATGTGTTGAATGGCTTCAGAAAAAGATTGAGTGACTGGTGAGTGATTGCGAGGTCGGCAAACACCAGCGAACTCACCATAGGCACAGAATAAGATGACTTTCTATTTGAAGCTAGCTGGTTAACACTGATGTGCCTTCTACCCCTGCTGGAGCGGGAATGAAAAGCTACCATCTTACGTGAACAGCTTACACTGTATCTTCTTGCACAAGAAGTGGAGCAGAATCTCTTGGGGCCCCTGTGGTGCAGATTTTCTGTTAGGCGGCCACACTGTTCGCAGTGTCCTACAGATGAGTCATCCAAGAATACTTCATTGACAGCTTCATCGTTACTTGAAGGGCTGTCAGCTGAAGATTTAATAAAAAATTACAGCACTTGAAATTTCAGCTGAGATTCAATAGAATAGTGCCTTTCCTGCCCACAGTTATGGGACCTGCTTGATGCAAAAAATTATGAGATACAACTTGAAAAGTCACAGAGATTGAAAAAGAGAGAGTCAATTTTTAGGTGATCAACACACGGTGGCAAAGATCAAAGTCAACAGGACCCAGAACATGAACTTCATTTCTACTTCTAATAAAGTGCCTTTCATGCAAAGTTAAAACAATCTTACAATGTATTAAATAAAATAAATGATGAAGAAAACATTGAATAGATATATTTTCTTAAAAAGAAGTAATAACGAGTGTTCTTACATCTGATCAAACGTAGATTTGTTTTTAGCTCTTTTTTTTTAGAAACATACAACGACGGGGCTTGAAAAAGGTTTCGTCCAGTTGTCTGGCGCAAGTATAAATTAATTTTCTTTCTGGGCAAGTAACTGTTACAGCTCACTTGCCCAATTAATGGGGAAGTGTCGGAGCAAGTCATCCTCTAACTAAATCATTAACTGAGGGTGCTTTCCATTCGTCAGAACTGACAAATGATAATGAGAATTTCACTTTTAATCAAAACTATCCAGCCGGATCAGTCAAATCCTAAATAATATGCATGAAGGAGATGATTTTTCAGTGAATCCCTTTGGAAAAAGCCAATTTCAGTTGCTAACTGACTGGTCCAGCAATGGTCCAGCCGGCCAATCCTGACAAATCTAAAGCGCCTTAAGACATTAAGCCAGTAGTTGTCCCAGGCAAGCAAAACATGAGAGCTGCTTGCCCAAAGGACATAATGGAATTCAAGTTTCCTTCGAGCGCTGAATGTACATGTACCAGTAATGAAACACAGAACCAGTTTTGAAAAAGATGAATGGATCTAGACTGTGGAGGATGCTGATCAATAACCTAGTGATAAGCTGATACATAGAGGTATCTGACAGTAAAATTAACTGTTGGCAATACTCACCCTCGAAACCGGCATCCATTTCAATGTCACCATTCCCATAATTCTGATTTCCATTGAGGTCTTGAGTAAGTTCTTCATTGTCATCTCCAGACTGAAATTTAGGAAAGAAAAAAAAAACATTACACTCACTTGCTCTGATTCTTAAGGTGGTAATGGTGTGGATATTTTTAGGAACCACACATTCTAGAAATTCTCCACACTGGGGTAGTTGTCCCACTGCTTAAAACTAATTGGTACACTGAATGAATGCATCAGTGGATTATCGTTGGAAAGTTACCACTTGTCATGGGACTTCCATGCCAATGACTCACTCCGAGCCTCAGCAGCAGAGAAGTCTTGATACTATAAATGCAGAAATCCATTGTTGATGTACATTTTTTATTAACCGGTTTTAAAGTAGCACCAAAGGCAAAGGTAATCATTTTACAGTCTTGGGATTTTTTACCAGCTTCAATAGAACAAACAATCAATTAAGGGGCCGTCAACGTATTCACTTTCCCCCCATCTAACGCCAACTGGACATTCAGGTCAGACCTCCCCTTCCTCCTCCTTACTGTCCACTTGAAATTTTGCTGCCCCAAAAGTCACTACTTTCCAGAGGGAATACTGACAAAAAAAACACTGACGTTGAAAGTATGTATTGAAAAAAGATTCCAGTTTTGTTCACAAATGTCTTTACAATATCAGCAAACTAAATATAATTTTTGGTGTAAAATAAAGCAAAACTGGATGCAGGGCTGGCACTACGGCAAAGGGCTGGTTTACTATAAGCCTATATTTCGGCTAACAAAATTAGCCTTCTCATTTATTAGTGATTAAAGGTAGAGTTTAGAGGATCACAATGTACAATGTACAATTTGCTAGTAGTCATCCAGTTGATGTTAAGAAGGGACAAAAGTCAATATGTCAATGGCCCCTAATCAATTCTTTATTAAAATAGGGTAAAAAAAAATAATCAGGCCTGTACAATATGTTGGCCAATGGAGTTTCAGTTCACGGTAATCTCATTGAGTGATATATATGCCGATGTTGCTCTAGTACTAGTATCATTATTGTCAACCATTTTCCAATGTAAAGATCTAAATGTGTCAAAGACCAAAAAAAAAGAACAAAAATCATTTTTTTTGAGCAACTTGATTCGAATTCAATGCTAAGAAAAGATCCTTCTCAATGGCCTTCACGACATCTGCTCGTCGGGCAGCCTACCATTTTTCATGCCTTTTTATCAAGTGTTGACACCCTTATTTATGGTAAGCTTACAGTGTGCCTTATCAAGTGACAGATTTTCGCAGCTAGTTTACAAGCTCTAAAATAAAGGCGTGAAACACGTGCGATCGAACAATCTTACCGTGAATGGAAAGTTGCTTTCTTGAATGACAAATCCTTCCACAAAGTGAGTCAGAATTCTTGGCGACGAACTCCGCTTGGAGACACGAGCGATTTGATCGACATGTAGCGTGTTTGTCACCATTTCCATTCCTTTTATAACATCTTACATATTC